CTTTTGGGCCAGCTAAAGGGCAAAACCCATCCATCAAAAAACCACTAGGATTGACACCCTCGGGAACCTTTGGCTCCTTGAGAAGGGAAATATATATATAAAATCATGAATCTTTCCTAACTTTCTGCCTATTAGTTATCTGGACATGCTGCTTCCAGATTTCCCAGCAAGCATGGTGATCTGGAAGCCAACAGCAATCAGGCTGAATAAAACTTCTGATAGAAAAGGGAAACTGTATGCTGCATTCCTATCTGGTAATGTTATTTCTAGTCTGTCATTAATCCACTTAGTGAAAAGCTAGTCCTGATCATTGATTGTTCATAACAGCACATATATGAGAAACTATAATGCCCAGGGTCATAAATAGTTTCATCTTACATAGCCGTTTGATTTTCTGCACAGGGTTGCTTCTCAGTCTGGCACTGATTTTTTAAGTGTGCACTAGTCTGACGTAGTCTTTGGAATATTCAGCCACATGGATGATATAGAGAATGTTTTTCCTTAATGTTAAATTTATGAAAGGACTATCTCAATTGGTTCATAAATTAGTAGAGCAGCATGTAGCCAATAGATGGGATTTCAGGTTTGTTCACAGGAGAGCTGTGCAGTTTTGCTATCATCGCTCATATCTTGGGCAGCATCCCGGGTTCAGACAGATAGCATGTGTAGAATTTTACCTGAGTCCATTTTTAAGAAGAGATTGGACAGCCATTTGTCTGAAATAGTAAACACTTAAGCCGGGGGTTGGAGTAGAAGACTTCCAAGGTCCCTTTCAATTCTGTTACTCTGTTATTCTGTTATGTGTTTGTTAGCTGTTTTAAGTCTAGCTTCCTATATTTTAAGTCTGGGTCCATCAATTTAGCCTTTTGAGGCAAGCAGCAAATATCCACGCTACAAGTAAATATCTCTTCAGCCTTGCTGCCCAGAGTGTATGAGATCCAGAGGGACTGTGTACCATATTATCTCTGTTACAGCACAAACATCTCTGAAGATAACTAGCTTGTGTGGTAAAATGCATATTATTTCTTTTTTTGTTTGTATATTTCAGCTTTTCCCCCGAGAGATCAAGAGAGGGCATATTTCTTAGGGAGACGATCTTTCCTAATTTTATTCCCATAACAATTTACTTGTGAATAGCTTGAGCTGAGAATAAGTGATAGCCTAAATTATGCAGTGCTTGAGTAGGGATTTGAATGTGGATTACTTTGAACCACATCCTTTGTTTGGAAAACCTACACTTGAGAACGTGGAAGTTAGTTAACCATTCTTGATCTAGTATGGTCAAGAATATGAATGAATCAAGAAAAGCCAGTATTATCATCTGAATCAACATAGCCATCTAGACTTGGAGTTAATCAATCAACAGTTTACAAAAGGTTGATTGGAAACTAAACCTTTCCTTTCATAATACAGTTGAGAAGATATATTGAAAAATGTTGGTTAGATTCAACTATTGACTCTAAAATGATTTCCTAGTTTCTGGATCAGAGTCCAGTAAGTGGAGTCCTTTTGGAATAAACAACCTGATATCTTACAGATATTGTGAACTCCAGTTTTTTACAGTTCTGTTCTCCTAGTCAAAATTACTATTTATATATATCACAATTATGCAATAGAAACGTTTTTTTTGTCTCTTACTCTCTTGTTATCCTTCCTTGAAAGTGATACTGTTGGTTTCTCTTTCTTCTTTCTCTTTCTTTTCTTTCTTTTTCTTTTTTGTATATTGAGCTCATTGGTATGGCATGGAATAGAATCATGGAGAAGCAAAATAGATAGTTGAACATGAGGCAGAAACTTTTGGAGTAAAGAGCTGAAATGAAGGAAAACTGGGCAAAAATTGGTGGGTCCAAATCCTAAACACAGAGGAGAATTGCCCTATCGAAGGGAGGCATTATAGCTTTCAAGAACAGAATTATATTTTCCATAGTAATGGTCCATCTGATTCATACTGGAATGATACGATGAAGTTGGTAGCAATGAAGAAAAAAAAAGATGCTACACATGTTTTAACTCACTGAAATAAAACTAATAGTCTCTCTCTCTCTCTCTCTCTCTCTCTCTCTCTCTCTCTCTCTGTGTGTGTGTGTATGTGTGTGTGTGTTAAATGTCACTTTGTGATAGTTTCAGAATCTTTCAGATGTTGTCAGTTTTGCCTTCATCAGCTCAAATGCGTCTAGTTTTTACTGACTCCTTGCTCTTTCCCAAGTGATGTTAAGATTGCTATTTATGGGCATTCGGAGTGACATGTAAAACTTTTAAGGAGCAATGATATAAACAGAAACACCAGCAAGAAAACCAAAGTGTAAATATTTTGGTCTTTTCTGTGGCTATCTGTACTGCTTACTCAGAGTTTTACCAAGTTTTCCTGTTTTTTATTGCATAATTCTGACAATTAGTGCTGTCCAGAACCTCATGTTATGTTTAGATTATTCAGAAGTTTCCATGACCTTTGAATTTCTTTGGTGTTGCTAGCGTCTTAAAAACCTCATGGAACTTGTGGTTTGTGCAGTATTTGTGTTTTGAAAGGGGAGCCTAAAGATAAAAGTCACTGCTTTGCGTTGTCTAAACAGTGTTGATTTAGTAATGTTGTTCAATTGCTTGTATTCCAGTATACCTTGCATAAATGCTGTTATCTGTGGTAGCCAATATATTGAGGCTCAAGCATTTCTCAGGCATATTTATGAGCAACTAAACGTTCTCATTCTAATCTTTAAAATGCAAGACGTGTGAATTCTACACAGACCAGGACTTCGCAACCAAGGGCGCAACCCAGCCTTCTTTTTGTGGCTTCTGGAATGGTTCCAGATTGCTGCTGGTTTTTATTTTCTAATAAAATAAAGAGCACTTAAAAGTGTTAAAGTTAATGCTTGTTAACTTTAAAAATTACAGTTAAAACACAGCGAAAGCAACCTTTTAAAACTCGAAGTCTGACCCTTCCCTCTTCAAGACCCTGACAGGCTACATTCCCTGTTGAGGCTATGGATTATAAATAAATAAATATATCCTGCGATGCAAAAGTTTGCTGCTCCCAAGGTAAAAACATTGTTCTTTATAAAGTATTTCTACTGTATAACCTATTTCGAAACCCTAGCACCGCGTTCGAATCCCTAGCACCTCGTTCGAATCCCTAGCACCGCATAATGGAGTGAGCTCCCTTTACTTGTCCCAGTTTCTGCCACCCTAGCAGTTTGAAAGCACATAAAAATGCAAGTAGAAAAATAGGAACCACTTTGGTGGGAAGGTAACAGCGTTCCGTGTGCCTTCGGCATTTAGCCATGCCGGCCACATGACCACGGAGACGTCTTCGGACAGCGCTGGCTCTTTGGCTTTGTAACAGAGATGAGCACCGCCCCCTAGAGCCAGAAAGAACTAGCACATGTGTGCGAAGGGAACCTTTACCTTTACCGTATAATCTGATTCCTACAGATACATTCTCCACATGTCACTAAACATTGTTAGCTCTCTTTCATGCAAATTTTTAACTGCTTTTGAATTCTGGAAATATGACTGTTTGGGGTTTAAATCCTTATATATTTGGCTATGCACAATGCTGCAAACAACCTGATTTTATATGATGAGCTGCTTAGGGGTTTAGGATTTGCATTCCTCAAACATACTGAAAAGCCAGATTGTAGAAGGCTGTAAAAGATACTGATCTGAATATATCTTGAACAGACAGCTTTTTTTCACTTTAATGTGATGGCTTGATGCTAATATGTATTTGCTCGGCTTCGTTTCAGTTGTAACAAATCAACCATCAGTATTGCTTAGTGTTAAAAATTCTTCTGAAAAATTTAAAGGTTGCATGTGACTGTTTTTCAACATTTGCATTTGTTTGTGTGCCATTACACCAACACCCACAATTTTGTTTGTAGATAAAGCTTTAAAAACTGTTGTCAACATTGTGTTTTATACATGGTTTTCTCCCTGCTTTGATTGACAGCTAAGGAAAGGGCACATCTTTGTTTTAAAAACAACTGCCAAAACTGAGCTAAACATTTTAAATAACCTGGTAAATTATAAAGCTGTAACTTGATCTGCCTGGAGCCTCCCTAACTGGGATATGGCTTCTCCTTGATTTTTCCCAGGTAGCCTCATAAAAATGCTTTCACTAGGTGAGTTTGAGACGTGTATGTAATTTTGGTCCCCATTTATGTTGGCATTTATCTTTGGACAGTTAATCCCAAGGGGATACATCCTTACTATCCATGCTTTTGGTATCTCTGCTGCAAGGAGAGCCAAAAAGGCTATGGAAATATATAAACAGTCTAACCATGAGAAGAAGTTATTGAGCAGTGTTGTCATATACTCTTTGCTGGTGCTATATGTAAGTAAATGGCTTACTTAGGTAGGAAAGCTTCAGTAGATCGTAGCACCTGGCTGCTCTTGATGAATCTTGGAAACTAAGTAGGACTGGGCCTACTTAATACTTGTGCCTTCTGGGAATTCCAAGCTTGGCTGGACTGGGATGTCAAAAAGGTATCCTGGAAGATGATAATGGCAAAACCACTTGTGTACCTCTGTCAAGGAACCTGCACGAGTGCTGCAGTTACCAGGAACTAAGCTAAGTTCAGGTTGTCTAGATGCATAAAACAGGAAACCCTAGCTCTCAGTAGAAAAGATCGGTCTATGTTACCTGCACTAAATCAATGGTAGACAAAGGGACACAGCTTGGTGGAAAAAGAAAGTGAACTTTATATGATCCGATCTATGTAAATGAAGACCTATTGCCAGAAGCATTGTTGCTGATTCAGATCAATGCTCAAATTACCATTTTAAGTAGTTTATATTATTTTCCTCATAGTATTTATACCTTTTTTCATTTTTAACCATTTAACCATTTTCATTTTTAACCATTTTCAAACTTCAGTGTTGCCGCATAATCACATATTCTTGTGCCAACTTCACTCCTTTGATAAAGTGTTGAATCACAATCACTTCTGTGTGATGTCGTATAGAATAAAGTTTGAATACATAATGTGTATGTATTTATATTTCAGAAAATGCAGCAGAAGCAGATCTCTGGCTATTGAACAGTTGTACAGTAAAAAGCCCCGCTGAAGACCATTTTCGGAACTCAATTAAGTAAGTTGTTATCCTTTGATAAGCGCTCTTGAATTAGTAGAGATATTGTCCATTCTTGTTCAAAGCAGAAGTGGAAAATACCAAACAAAGGTATAATTTGGTGGCAATTGTACCAAAATATGGACATTATTCAATACTTGAAGGTTCATTAAATTGTTTTCTTTAATAAAATCCTTTAATCCCCTGGATAAAAAGTCTTGGATATGACCCCAGAAATTCCAAAAATGCCACCAACTTGTAATTGTAATGTAACTGTATGGGGCCATTATTAACTACATTCCTGAAGAATAATTATATTGACTTTAATTGGTTACAGTTATTTGCTATCTATTGAAACTACTCTAGGTAGCTTAACAGTTACTTAGAATCTATAAATATTATAATCATTCCAATATTTTAAAAAAATCTACTGCTGTCCTCCACTAAATATCACTCTCTAAAAGCCTTGTGGAAGATAATGTTTTATATTTGTTTCCTGAAAGATAAAGTGCTGGAGTCTAATATGACCTCAGGGGATAAGCTGCTCTAAAGTGAGGGGTCTGTTACTGCAAATGTCATTTTCTAGATCCCTACCTCAACCCCTAATTACTCCAAGGATGGATACTTGCAGCATACTGTGCTGCCCAGATTGTGACTTTGTTACCTGAGGAAAATAGTTAAGGAGGGCCCAAGCCATAGAGAGCCTTATTAGTTTACATCCAGCAGCTTAGATGGAAATCTACAGCAATCAATAAAAGTAAAGATTTCCCCTGTCCAGTCATGTTTGACTCTAGGGAGTGGTGCTCATCTCCGTTTCTTAGCCAAGGGAACTAGCTTTGTCTGAAGACACTTCCGTGGTGATGTGGCCAGCATGACTATACGCCAAGGCACACGGAACACTATTATCTTCCCACAGAAGTGGTACCTATTTATCTACTTGCATTTGCATACTTTGGAACTGCTAGGTTGGCATGAATCAATCAATGAGTCAATCAGTGCAGGTCTCAAATAAGAGATATTAATCTGCTGAACCAGTTTGAGCTGGTCAGTGGACAAGCAGTTCTGCTCTGTGCCAGATAGAACGTCAGTGTTTTCTTGGATGACATTGCAACTTATAGCAAATTGCACTAATCTAACTGAGAAATGACGAAAACAAAAATTACCATCTTCAATACCTTTGGTCTAGGTGCAACTATTAGATCCAGCCAAACTCACAAAAGGATCTCCTGCTGTTGCTTCCATGTGCTGCTTCAGCAGAAACTGCCAATCTCAGATAATACCCAGTTATATCTCTCAACTCCAGGACAACCACATGATGTCACAGAGATCTTGTCACAATACCTGGAGGTGGTTTGGTTCTGGATTGGGAGGGCCAAGCTTAAACTCAACCTTGACTCAAGACTGTGTGGCTGTCAGTTCCTGGTTCTTCTGATATCGTAACTTTTCCACCTTTAATTCTGAATGGGGTTATATTTCACCAGGCAGAACTAGTGTAAGTTGGAAGTTCTCTTTGATTCAGAAAGTAGGTAGCAATTATGGCCAGGAAGATCAGTAGTTAAGTGCTTGATGTGTCAATTAAGACCTTTTCTGGACTGCGAGGTCCTTCTCACAATTACTCATGCCATAAAAGCTAGTGGATTCTATAAAGGACTATCTTTGAAGATCCCTCAGAAACTGCAGTTTGCTCATAAATATGGTGGCATGAAACGTTTGAGGCTGAGTTATGATTATAAACAAATTATGTGAGCCACTATGGTTGCCAGTAAATTTCTGTGTATAATCAAGGTTGTTGCTGGTTGTTATCTTTAGAGCCCTTTCATGGGTTACCTGAGGGACCATCTTCCAGTTTTTACCCATCCAATCTGTTATGGCAAGATAGGCATGTTCTGGGCCCTGTCAGCTGGTACACCTAGAGGCAAGCTTTTGCTGTCAGCACCTGCCCCCTGGAACATCGTAACTCCTGAGATCAGGATTGCCCCAACCCCACTAGTTTTTTTGGAAGGCCTTGAAAACCTGGTTATGTGGCTGGTCCTGGCGTCCTAAATGTATGGAAAGCCCCATTTCCTGGTTATATTGACCTCTCTGGGTTATAATATCTCTTGGCTGCAATTTGTGTTTAATTTCTTTTTGTATCATGTTTTGATTAGTTTTATGATTATTTGCTGCCCAGAGTCACTGGTTTAAGATGGGTAGCTACACAAATTGAATGAATGAATAAATGAATGAATGAATGAATGAATGAATGAATGAATGAATGAATCCCACTTATTTAAGGGACTGACTTTATCCCATTGTTTCTGTCCAACTGGTAGGATCAACATAGTGAGCCTGCTCTATATCTCATCTTTAAAGCAGTATTATCTTTCTCTTCCTAGGAAATTGCCTTGCCTCTCGTGGTGCTCACCCTCTGGAATAATTACGAGGTTTACATAGTCCCAACCCTTCTATTCTTTACACAAACCTTGAACTGACCTGCTTTGATTGTGTACAAATGTCTTCATGTTTATTTTGCTTACATTTTAAGAAAATGAAGTGAAGGCACCGCCCTTTTTGTATTTAGTCTCCCCTAATTGATTTGAATATTTAAAGGACATATAGTATCATAAATTCATCTTTCTCTCTTTTCCTGAACACAAGCACAGCTGCTAATCTGTATTTATTTCTTAACAATAACAGGATGAGTTAAGTTTGGCTAAGTGCTAGCATCTACTGTGAATAAAATATACAGAGAATGGAACAAAGTTAGGTACAAATAAGTTTAATAAAACACTTCATCATGTCACTGCACTGTGCACCAGAGATCCAAGTGATATCATGTATTTGTTTCTGTGTGGCAGAGTGTGTGTCTGTACATGGTCATTGTGAAAGGCTCCTGAAACCAAGAATAGTTTTCATTGGTATGACCAGTAAGGTGTTTTTAAACCCAGAAGTTGAATTCCTGGTGAGGCAGAGAACTAGCAACTTGAAATTCTTTACTTCCAAAATCTATGGCTTTTTAGGAATAGGTTGTCTTTTAGTTCTCTAACTTGACATCCTGATAACTTCTATTTTCATAACTTTTAGGATGGGTTTGTGACCTCAGCTTGTAGTAATAAAAGCCAAATCTAGTGAGGTAGACACCTAATAAACCTTGCCTGGTCTTGAAAAATTAATACAAGTAGGACCTCGTTAGGTTGACTGGGAGATAATTGGTAATTCCCAAGTTTGTAGGCTAAACTAGCAAATTGGGGAGGAAATCCCTAAAGACCATGGCAAATGCTACTTCTCTACTGTTGTGTAAAAAATTACAGGGATATGTCCAGAAAGTCATTTTTATTTGAAGACTTTATCTTTTTTTTTAAGAAAGCCCCAGCAATGGTTTCCAGGTGAATTAATATAATGATCTGTAACTATCTAAATTTTATTTACTAGTGAACTTTGTGCTATACTTCCCTCATAATTGTTATAGTACTATTTTTTTAAGCGCAGCTTCCTTTTGCCCTGTGGAACAAACTTATGATTCTAGTAGAAAGTTGCTGCTTGTTTTGATTTATCCACAGTTAGTAATAAGAATAGATAGAAACCTCATTTCAGTAGCATGTCTCTTGTAAACTTAAAATCTTGCTTGTTAAGTAAACAGTCAAATGGATTTTATGGAATCAGATGATCGGTGCCATGTGCAGATGGGCTTCTATTGAGAGCGAACATGAGCTGTATTTTAATTCGAGTTAGGCAGCTGGTGTACTCTGAAGAATAAAGGAGAGGGTGGGGCTAAAAGATGAACAGCCTGTGATTCCTGTCTTTCCTTTAGGTTGTGTGCCTACTTTAAATTGAAGCATTGGGAGCCTGGCAGAAAGTTCGTGTTTTTCTGGCCAAGAAAAACCGAGTTTCCTAAACACCCGCTGGTTAATACGTTGTTAGGCAACAATAATGGATTGGGGCTAGCCAATTATCTTGGTAACAGAATTACTTACTTGGTTCCAACTGTTACAAGTGGTAATTTTGGACAATAGTAGGCGCATGGCACTGAAGCAGAACGGTGAAAATAACATGTTCTCAGTTATTGGAGGGCCTCTTTGTGTCCAAAATATAACCGAATCTTATCTTAATTAAAACTGAAATATTGTTCTTCACAGAATTATCTAATGGCCTTTTTGTTGTGGTTACAGAGGAGATATTTTGTCTGGGTTGAAACATCTGTAGGGATTTCCAGTATGTTTCAAAACATAACTCAGAGTGTTGCTTTTGTTCTGTAAAGCTTCCAACGGACCCAGGTATGCTTTGTCTCTTTTCATCAAAGTGATTATTCAGTCAGAGCAAGTCATGATTGAACTCCTTCTTTCGAACCTCTAAAGTTGAAGATTAATTCAGTCATGAATCACATGTTGCATGATCTTCTCTGAGAAGTCTTTGTAAAATAGATTTCATATTCTACTTCTTTGTTGTTTATGCCAAACCAATTTTTTTTCAGAATGTAGGTAGTCCTGAACCTACAACAGCTTGTTCAGTGACTGTTCAAAGTTACAACAGCACTGAAAAAATGGACTTATGAACATTTTTCACACAACCATTGTAACATCTCAATGGTCATGTGATCAAAATTCAGCTGCTTAGCAACCGAGTCATTTTTATGACGGTTGCAGTGTCCCGGGGTCATGTTTTTGCGACCTTCTGACAAGCAAAGTCAATAGGGAAATCAGATTCTCTTAAGAACCATGTTACTAACTTAATAACTGCAGTGATTCATTTAACAACGGTGGCAAGAAAGGTTGTAAAATGGGGTAAAACTCATTTAACCAATGTTTCACTTAGCAACAACAATTTTGGGCTCAATTGTGGTCATAAGTCAAGAACTATCTGTATAATCAACTGTCAAAGTAATTTTGATACCATTTCTTGACACTATAGTAGTTGTTATTATTTTCTATTTTAGTTTGCATTATTTTACCTTAAGTGTGTATTGTAGAATGGTAGGATGATCATATTTTAAATAAAACGCTAAAATCATGACAGGGTAGGGTTTTTTTGGAAATTCAGTCAAA